GTCCCCTCGTCCTAAATCCTACATTACGCTCCGTCCATATATTCTTACGTCCATGGGCGTACCGGATCAGGCACATGTCTATATTCCGCGTATATCCCATACACATACGAGAAATAACGTACACTACTAAGATATTATACGAATGTTCTCAGTTTATCCTGTATTATCACAGAACATTCAGTATGAGTACAGAATATTCGAATGATATCATGTGCTGTGCGGATCATCAGGCACTTCCTCCGCACGCCGAGAAGAAGTGCTAGTTTTGCGCACCACCATCGTCCTCGTCAGCAGGTCACGTCGCTGTCGAGGACGATGACGGTCAAACGAAATATATGCTTGCAGCGTCTTATATACCCTTCTCCCCTCCAAAACCACCTCCCCCTTCTTCAACCGATTCGCGAATTCTTTGAAAACTGCACTGAGTTTTCCTTTTAGCTCTAGTCTTAGCACATTTCTATCTGCATCCTACACTTTCCCTCTCTCTCACTCAAGGGAGAGACAGCGTCTCGCGCGTTCGTCAGAGCAGTTACAACTGCGCCCCCCCCCCCCCCACTTTCTCTCCTCAAGGAACTGCGTCTTTCTCAGGTGGGTCTCATTGTGTCGGAGAAAATGTCGAGCGACATATTGTGCGCGGATACAGTTATATTCGTGTTGGTGCAAATACTCGACTGTTTTTTCAAGTAAATTCCGTGCGATCGTACTTAGTATCCGTACTCATAAGGCGGGCGCCTCCTCTTATTGCTAATTAAAGCCAATATTGTTAAGCAATAATATTTCGAGTATTCGCACCAACACGAATATAACTGTATCCGCGCATAAGATGTCGCTCGACATTTTTTCCGATACATTGACACCTAAACAAGATGCGCTTCGGCGAGGAGGAGAAAGAGGAGGGGGGGCACAAGTGTAAATGCTCTGACGAACGCGTGAGATGCTATCTTGTATATCTATATTAGCAACAAATAAAGAAAAAAATTTACGAACAAATTCCGGATTTTAAAGATCATAGGAGCTAACATTTTCGCGGCCGTGTGTGAAGAATCGTAAAGTCACGGTCGCCCATTCAAGTTTTAACCACACTCAATGTTGCTTCACCTCGAGGTCTGTTGGCGTTGCATGCCTCACATGCTCCTGTTTGCCCCAACGACCAATACCGTCATTTTATTTACGATTTAAGTGACGGCATTGATCGTTGGGGCACGCAGGAGCATGTTGGACCATGCGACGCGAACAGACCTACTATGATCGGACGGTCTAGCGGTGATTCTTGGGCTCTGATACTTCCTTCTTGCAATGTAATACACTTGTACGTATACTTGTAGTACATAACGTGTCTTTATTAAATGTTATTAAATGTTTAAAATTATTTTTGAACGCAACCCACACAGCGTACTTTATTTGGAATATTCTGAGAAATTCTAAATTGTCTCAGACTTTTAAATATTATATATAATAATCCCCTTTAGTGTTACCGAATCTTCTACCAAATGTAAAAAAGGAATCATGCATATTTAATTTCTCGTAATCAATCTCATATCAAATGTGTACTTACGTTTTGTGGCATGATTGTCCAAATCTCGTGACATGATTGACCAAACCTCGTGGGATGATCCAGACTTCGTGGCACTTTGTATAACACCTCAGTATTAATCACACGCGACAGGCAAGGAAACACGAAAAATATACGATTGCATAAAGTTACTATTTCCACTCGGTATTGTAAATTTATCCGATGGTACGAATTTTAATCAACAGAAATCGCCGATGAATACATTTAAACTATCGATGAGTAAATATTACAATGTAATTAAGCACGGATTAATTGATATCATTAAGTCTTCAATTAAACGTATCGCGATGAAATTTTGACTCAAATTTCTGCAGTCTGACCAGCATTTGTATGATTCCGTTAATAAAAGAAAATTTTGAAGATTATATATTTCTGTTTTTATAAACGTAAAACTTGAAAATTATAATTTAACATAAATTTTAACATCGACACCGTACAATAAACGCGACTGATTTAATCGAGACACAATCGACCGAAAATAATTAGAAATTCAATGTCGCACATGTATTTTCATTTATAAATTCCGTAAAAAATATATAAAGTAGTAATATTAATAAATCACCGATAAACACTAGTTAAGGCACTCGATTCAATATATCGTATATTATTTCGTGTTTTCAACCTAGAAACGGCCAACAAATTATACTCGAAGCAACGAGAGACTCACTGCGATGATACGAGATGTGTCCGAATACGAGCATTGTTTAAAGAAGCAATTATCGTCTGCAGTTATCACAATGAAGAAGTACTTTCAAGTTAGCTAGCGCTTTGATTCTTGAATATATCTGATGTGTCAACCGCGCTCTTGCCGGCTAACTGAGCATCGATGGCAAATCGCTGGGATTCAACGATCGCGCGATGATATCGATCACTGATTATTCGCAGAGAGCTATCGCGGTTTCTTCCCGCACTTGTCGCGAACGCGTATCAAGAAAGAATAATACGATATGCGGAGCTGCGCGGGCATAACTGACTCATTCGACTTTCGACTGTCGCCGCGTGAATGATCCTGCGTACGGCGTGACGTGTTTCGCCGAGCGTCGTAAACAACTCGGTCGAAAACCGAGCGGCGGTTCGAAGAAATGACGTAGCGCCGTGAACACACCTCGATCTAAAACAATCTATTAGACCAAATCATTCGGCGCGATTCAGTCGAGCGAGGTGGATGTTTCGCGTGTCTTTGCGTCGCTCGTCGTAACGCGATCATTTCCTACGAGAATCTCGATCGTCTCGTACGAGAAACATTAACATTTATCAATTGCGTTTAAGTAATTGTCGCGACCCGTAGTCACATCGTCGATGTCTACGGTGATTCGTCGAGGTGAATATCACGCGTAATTCGAAGAGAAAATGCGATCTAAAGCGCGAGGTAATACACGTTCTCGTCAGGTAAAATGATAACAAAAAGTTATAATCATAACAAAATGTATTATATAATATATATATACATATAATTAATATATCGATCGCTTGCCAAGAAATAATCTCGCGGACAAGTATACGTACAAAAGTGTACGTATAAAGTTTTTATTTTCGTCGCGTTCGGGAGTGCCGTTTCAATAATCGAACTAAAAACTTTTTAAAGCCCATTTGAGGAACAAGTATTCGTCCATTCCTGTCGATGACCGATGGCACTTCCGATGGCGGTCGATGGCACTTCCGAGATTTGGCAGTTTCTCGGATATAATACTCGCCGACTCGAAGTGGAGGCCCCTGGTAAAAGTTCCGTT